CTTATATTTCTGCAATGAAGTGGCAGAGGCACTCCATTGAAGCACCGATTGCTAAAAACATGAGCAACAAACCCCCTTCGTATTTATCGACTGCCATCTAACTGGTTTTCAACACGGTATTGTACCATAAGTATGTACTTGTTACTCAAATACGATACACTTCGTGTGGGCTATCGGTTGGTGTAATTAGGATCGACCAAGCCGGCTTTCAGCACACGTATTTATACAATACACAGCTCGACACTGTGTCAAACTGTGCTCACTGAACTACAGAGATACGGACAACTGTCGGTAGTTACTCCCAACTAGTACGTAATTTAATTTCGGTAAACAATACTGCTATATTCTAGTATTAGTGGAAGTTGCTTGTACCCTCCAGCGCATATCAGTCAGTAGGCTCAAAAAGGAAGCGGCTCTACTGGTTTATAAGCTCATTAATGATTTTTCCTTGTTCCAGGAACGAGCGCAGCAATGAAGATTATCTTTTAAGTTCTACGGTGGCGTTGTTAGCTGGTAGTGTTACAACTTTAGACGAAGGTATTCAAGAGTTTTGGAACAACAGTTGTCAGAAAAAGGGTCATTCCTTTGGGTCCAAAAATAAATTTCAGTGGAACAGTGGAGGGTCGAGTTTATTGGAACAAAGTATTTGGACCATTTATCGGTAATCTGTCTGTCATTAATACAAAATATATCCAGATTGTTGCTATTTCAAAGTCCGCGCTGTTCCAAGAACCAAAGCTCTCTAATGATACTAAGTTAGTCGTTACTAATACTAGTAGTAGAACGGATTGCTTGCCGTCGTGTTGCCTGAAGTCGGCATTATCTACGGACATATCGTGACGATGTGTCATCGTCGCTGATTTTATCAGATGATCTATTGTGCTTTGCCTCAACTTTGGCTTATGGATAGCGCCACTAAAACAGCGACAAATCTATTTCGTGTATCTAAAGCTAGAACATAACCCAACGTTAAAAATAAGTTAATCATACCGGATAACATAGCAACTCTACAGCTACAACGCAAAGCCACAGCGACAATGCAATGCCAAGCTACTAATTTCCCAGCTTGTTGACTTGAACAAGTGCTTGCCTGCACACTGTCCTGCTCCTTCACGGCCAATCGGCAAATAACTAAGATTCATTCTCATTTGAAGCGGGATTCGCGTGTTCGGTATCACATTACCTCTACGACGAAACAGTAAACCCCAACGAGAAATAGACCGCGTCGAGACCCCCATAAAGGACGCAACGACACTTAGGTCAATGTCTTAGATGTAGGTCAGCACGACCGATCTCCAACGCATGTCGATAGAAATTGTCATCTTCTGGAATGTAGCTGCACGGGCTTAAGAAAGACTTAGAGTGCGCGACGTTGGTTTGGCGCTTTTACTACAGCCATTCAACGAAAACACGCATCCTCCCTTTCTGTTTGAGAAAATCAATAATAAATTCTGAAAATGAAGGACATGTATGAATTTCCAAAATAGGGACCTGTCTCTTAGTCAGTTCACGTTTTTCCAGACGTCATGCTAACCAATCCACCCGCCCTTGTGTCCGTCTTTCAGCGCGGATTTATCGAGCCTGGTGGATCCCGCGTAGCCGAGTTCTACTTTCTGCGGCTATTAATGTACATTACTTCGACGATAAAAGAGGTATATTAGAGTTTACCAGTATAGTAAAGCTTACTACCAAAATTAAACGAGAAAAGGTAATTTTGACAACATGCCAACTCATCAGATTTGACTTCACATTTTAATACGGTGCGCTGTAACATACACCATATCATCAAACGCCTACGCCACCGGAGTAATACTCGTCCAAATGGCACCCACCGAGTCGAGTTCCTTGCCACAAGTGCCAACAAAACCACCTAGCTGGTAGCCCGCGGGAGCTGAATCCTTGCCGATATCCTTCGTGGGACTGCCACCAGAGATCGTTTTGCCCGAGCTCGTGGTAAACTGAATATACTTGATCCGTGTGTGGCTGTCCTTCTCGCCCCAGTGTGCCTCAATGCCCGTGATGAACTCACCTGCGCCGAGAGTGAGTGTGTTGGGGTCACCACCGCCGCCGCCGTGGTACAAGGTAGACTTCTGACCGGACGGGTCGGTGATATCGAGACTGACGGCATTGACGCGCTCGCCAGTGCGGATAGTGATGGCTTGCACGGTTTGTCCGGACGAGGCGATGTCCAAGTCCGAGTATTTCGTGCCATGAGGCCCACCGAACGTCTGACTCAACTGAACGCCGTTCTCCAAAGCGGTAGCGAC